TTTTTATGTTAAAAGAACAGAGAGGAAATGGTTCATGATTCCCAAATGTCAAAAACTAGTGAAGTTTATCTCAAATTCAGGAGTATGCATCATAACAGTATGACTAAAAGGGATTATTAATATGCCTGATTCTGGTCCACATGCAAGCAGTCATTTTGGATAAGCCTGGGGATTTAAGCATTTTCTGCCAATTCTTATTATTGGATTCAAAAGCTTTGTAATTCCTTTAAGTCAGTATTTTTCAGATATCTCATTCCTTGTCGTTAGAGGGAGAAGTAAAACTTGCAGCACAACACAAAAGCTACGATAAAATTAGTTGTGCCCATTCCAATCCTCCTGATTTGAATTTGAAACAAGTGCTGGCAAAGATGAGACAAGAGTAATGATGACATGACTGGGCCTCCAGACAACTAAATAACCATGAGACAGTATAAAAGGAATAATGTTTTCTCCCCAGCCCACAAGCCAATCTATGCTCTCATTCTGTTGTTGTTGCTTTTAATACGTTCAACACGAGCTGCTTCAAGCTACGGAGAACAGGATCCACTGTGTGTCTGTACAGGGCACACCAATGAATGGCACACAGAGCAGACATGTACTCCCAGTGACACCAACTCCACCAGCACAAAGCTACCACACATATGAGGAAAAACACTGAGAATGTTTTTCTGTTGGTGTTCTTTTTTTTTATTTTTATTTTTTATTTTTTTATTTGAGTGTTTTGTTTTTGTTTTTGTTTTTGTTTTGGCCAAGCGAGCATACAGTCAAAATTTGAAGCATGACAGAATTAACATACTTTCATTTTTCTCTCTAGTCATTCAAACTATTTTTTACACAGTTGTTTCTTGTGTAGTGTTTCTTTTCCAGTCAGTTAACTGACACTGAAATTCCAGCCTGGGGCACACTTCTCTCTCTAGCCCTCACAGCAGTTGAGATGTTGGCCGTAGAGGGGTCCTGAACGACAGCCTGCCTGCCCCTCTCCCTTTGAAAACAGCATGCAGTGGTCAAATCATACATTTACAAAGAAAGGTTCTTCTAATCCTAGTGCTCAGGTGTGGTAAAACTGGACTTTTCCCTGCAAGGTGCCACAATCCTTTGAAAAGGCTATTGGGACTTGAGCTTTCCAAGGCTAGGATGAGGAAATATCCTTCCTTGCTCCTTTACATTTTCCTAATTAATCTTTCTCCAGGAACTAATTCTGAGGAACAATCTGTGGCAAGAAAGAAAATACTCACAGCAGATGAGTCTAACAGGGTTGCTGAGGACAGCTGTCATTTTTTCCTACTGGTTGTATTATAGTCCCCACGCTTACCTACTGGCAGAAGTACACCAAGAACACCTCTATGGCCAAAAGAAAATACAATGCAACTTTCTGCACTCCTGCACAGACCTGTAATAGTCTCTCCAGTACTTTTTTTTTTTCCCTGATGCCCTGATTAACAGCATCAATAAAAACAATTTAATTATGCAGAGGGTGAGAGACTCAGAAAATCATTCCAGCTGTTCGCCTGCTCACTGGAAAATGCTTCCATTGCTCTTCAGTTATTGCCAATATACACTAATTAAAACATGCCCTGGAACAGTGTGACCTGGTTGTTTGACTCTGCACTGGATGCTGCAAGATGCTGAGGTCTTCCATATTGAACTCCTCATCCTCAGACTCAAACAGAAACCAAACTCGGGGTTTGGCTTCGTAGGGCAGCACCTGGCTCCTTAAGAACGAGACCTTCACCTGTGATTGCCTCAGGGTACAGAGACAGGTCCCCCATGGTCAATGATTTCCAGGTCGTCACCAGTCAGACAATGATACCACAGATCCTCTGTGTGCTACTTGCAGAGCCCTGTGTTAAGGAGGAGGCGGGATTCTCACCTACCAAAGTCTAAATGTCACAGTCAGCCTTCATAAAAGCAGCTATAATTGGGCTACCAGCTATATTTGTACTCTAGAGTGAACTCTTCCTGCAGAAAATATTCAGATACCTGGTCACAGCCGTTGTAACTTCATCGTGGTTGTTTTGCACCAAAACCCAGAAAAGCTGATTGAGGACTACAGGAAGAAAATTCATAATTACATGGATCTTCTCGATCCTCAGCAAGTTCTGTAATGGATGTAAGAAATAAAATGAGAGATTTACAAACCAATTTTTATATTTCACTAAGAATACATATGGAACAGGAATAAAAGAACTTAATTACTATTTTCAAGACAGGCATTTCCTATTATTTTTAGGAAAAGTCATCCTTTTTATGCAGAGATCTGGTAAATGGAACTTGTTGTGGCTAAAATACTTACATTAAAAGTACAATTATAAAAGGTAGTATTAATACTCTAACCTGACTGGACTGACATTCTATCATCTTCTCTGATCAAGGACAATATCGAGCTTTTAATTAAAAAGCCCTCCTTTGAATTCCTCCTCGTTTGTAATTTCAGTCATTTCCAAATCACTCCAGGATTTCATCAAAGGTATTAAGGATTTATAAAAGCAAAACACTGTGGGGAAAATTAGTTATCCCCTGGTTATATTGCAGAGTTGATCCCTTGTTGCATACAACATTGTATAATAACTGAAATTTTTTTAAAAGGTAAACTACAAAAAGCAAATAAAGAACAGTGCCAATCCAGCAGCTCAGGTAACTGACAATGTCTAGAACGTTGTGAAACTTTTGTGGATTCCTAATCCTTGCCCAATATACTAAATGGCTTCCCGCTAGTAGCAAAGGACTTCATTCTGTAGAGGTATAGCCTCTAAATAATACAGATGCTTTGATTCTTGAAAACAACCTCTAATCATTGTTTAAAATGAAGACAGTACTTAAACACAAAGCAACCCCTTTCAGGCCTGCCTGCATCTACCAAGAAAAATATTAGCCATCTTTTGGGACTTGCCCAGAGAACTGCTGTCATTTATTGAAGCTTATTGTTTACTTATTGAAGAAAAAAACAACCCAAAACACCTCTTAGATTTTACAGACTGTTAAAAGGAAAAATAATAAATAAAGGCCACATGTACAATGTTTGAGTCAGTGCTCTGGAACAGTGTCAGAGCTCCCTTTAGTCTTATCACTTATCTTTCCATTAAAATCCAGTGAAAATGAAAACTCCGAATGTCACTGTTCACAAGCAGGTAAAGGATTGTGGCCCTACATCTGTCTGCTGCTCTTTTAATTTCCTTTCTCATAGCTTTTGCCCTCTACTGAACACAGTCACATTTAATGCTTATTCATTTCATCTCTGCAGAAATGTTCTTTCTGATTTCAGAACTTGACAGGCAAGAAGCACGCCTGATTTCTACACACAAAATACCTTCCACAGCCCTCTGGAGAGCATCCAGGGTATTGGAGTGAAAGCATAAATGGCAAGGAGGAGGTAAGCAGGTAAGTAGGAGGTGAGGAGGTATCTAAGGTAAGGGAGGACTAGCAGGACTCCTGCAGCTCGAGCAGCTACAGCTCATTTTGCTGGACATTCCTAAGCCACATCAGACCAACCTTTAACAGGATTTGAAGCTTGGCATTGGCTGGATTATCAGAGCTGATGGGGCAGATGCAGCCAGGCTCTGAATGAGAAGGGAGGTGAGACAGCCCTATGACCAGTACTGCATCCATCACCTTAGGCAGGTCTGACTGGAGCTGTCATGGCCTGTTGTCTCTTGGTAAGCCTATGCCATGTTTAGAGTTGTGTGGTGATGGGTTGGTGGAGACAATGCCCTAAACACCATTTTAATAAAGGTTTCTTTACCTTACAAGAACTGATGAAGTTTGAGGTAGGTGGCTGGGATAGATCCTTCTCCCTTTCTTGGCACTGATGGAAAAAGTTATTCAGGTATGGATCCTAAAAGGATAAACATTCACAGGACTCTGTATTACAGAAAGGATTCAGCTCCATGAACTGCCCAGAGCAATCACCTAAAGTGCCAAAGCACACGCTCAGTCTCTACTGCCTCAGACACACGACACAGAGAGACAGACCAGCCTGTTTAGTCCAATCTAAGGGATTTCAATGGCCAGATTTTTTTCCCTCCCTGGTGCTCAAATTCATTTTCTTGCTGTTTATACTGATATGACATGATTTTTCTGTTCAGATAACCTTAAATAATTTATACTTTCCTTAAAGTGTGTATGCCATCATTGTCATCTTCCCCTTCTACATGCAAATGACCTTTAAATGTTGGAGGAACAAATTCATACAAGGTTTTAAAACACCTTTTGGACATTTCTTGCCACTTTTTGTTTGTAAGCAGGTGACTAAGCTGAGAGGAAACTTGGCTTACCTGAGTATTCACTGTCGACACAACAAAAGTAGAGACTTTGAAAAGTGGTTTCCCACTATCTACCCATTTGACATCACAGCCGATCTGCTATTAAAAGAAAAACAAAATAAATTTTTCCACTTATTTTTCCTGCTTATTTAAGTGTGCATCAAATTCTTGCTGCAAGTCAAAGTATGACTTAATACCTTCCCACCAGTTGGTTCTTGAAGGCTCAAGTAACCAGGAGGCAGACTGCTTGCCACCGGCACGTTGTGCTCTTGGGAAGCCAACTGGGCGTCTTTCAGCAAAGGAAGCCACGCGTAGCCCACTGCACACAAGAGCAAATCAACATCACTCCCTAGACAAACAAGCTTCTCGAGTTCAAAGGAAGACAACAATATCCAGCCAATTCTGCAATCCTTATTTGAACGTACAGCAATTATATTTATAATTGAAAGTAATTCTACTACAGGTACCTGGTGTTTCCAGAGCCTCTTTCTTTTTGGCATTAGCTTTTGCATTTATGTCACAGGTGACATGATAAAATGAAAACAGAATGTGGTGTTTCTTATGGAGTTGAGTGGGAAGTTCAATTTTCACCTGAAATGTAAAATGTTACACCTCACTTTAGTTCAAAAATCAATTAAACCAGGCATCAGAGATGGTCTACACTGAGTGACATCTCTCGCTACACAGAAGTCTAAGCACAACCTGCCTTTGTTGACTAATGTTTGTCTGCAAGGGTAACAGATGCTCTCTTAAGGAAATTGGTTAGGATGATCATTCATCATTTTTACTTAGAATAGATTTTTCCTCTCTGTCTTCTGGACGAATATTTGCATTTATGATGAAAGAGCGTAGGATGAAAGAGGACAGAATTAAAGAGTGAGGGACCCTACTTAGAAGTCATCAGCCACACCCCAGCAGCCATCAACAGCCATCACCATTCTTGTTATTTTCAAGATGACCAGACCATAAACTAAAATGACATCTGTGCTACTGCTACGTCATCGTTTCATGGCAAAGACCAAGAAATAAAGGCTGACACAAAAATAAACTTTTATTTACAATTTCTGCTCAGTCTTAAATCCCATATCATGCCATTCATGAACTCCCACAGACTGAGGGATTAGTAACCTATTGGAATAAAAACACAAAGTAAACAAAACATGGTTACCATAGGAACTAATAAATAAGACCCTTTGCCCTTGTGAGCTATGATAAAGTTTATCCAAGCTAACCCTATGCTTAAAGTAGTTTAGAAACTGCTGATAAATGCCTCCAGTGTTAAATCAGCTGATGGGTAGGAGTCTAATACTATAAACATAGATATGAAATGGGGAATCAGACATGGAGATTAAGACAACTTCCTTGATAACATAGGACAATCTTTTCCATCCTGCACTTGCTGCACTAGGAACACTGAGGAGAGGTGCAGACCTCTTCCAGCCAAATCAACTGTTATGATCTGAATCTAGCTCTTTGTTCAAGTTCAAAGTCTCTGCCCAAACCAGATGGCTCACTAGCATCACATGAAGGACATTTTCAGGGTGTTAAAACCCAAAACACTGCTCGCCAAGGAATAGCAGGGGTTTGAGATCTCTGAAGATGTAAGGCTTTAAGTTTCACTTCAGTTCCTAACTGTGAATCTTAAAATTGACACTTCACATGTACATGATCCCCTGTGGTCTTGCCCCTGCCATCACATCCAAGTAAATCTTAACTGAAGAAGGAAGTCCAGAACAGACACGTGCCATTCCCAGCCCATCCAACACACCAGCCACCACAACAATGAAGCTCAGTTCACCTGCAGAAAGCCTGGGGGACCAATTCCTGGGGCTGGGGAAATGTAGAGGGGCACAGGCGACCAACACGTGGCAAGGGCCAACGTGTGAACTGGCCGATAGCCGCACCCCCAAAAGCAGCAGCAAGGCGGCTCGCTGCAGCCGCTACACGTCACTGCACGTTCTGTGCAGACAGACCCCTGGATCAACAAAAATGCCCCAATGCAGCCTGTGTCTCGGAGAGGGATTTGTTCTGACGTTTGGCTCCCTACTTCATCACCATGTTTATTGTTTCCATTAAATCCAGAGATGCAGCTGGACCCTTAATGTAATCCAGACGTGCATTTTAGAGAGCTCGACTGTTCCTAATTAATTCTACAGCATCTTAACTGTACTCAGAATATCTTATAAAAAGAACAATTCACTGAGTTGATTTAAGAAGAAAAAAAATAACAACCAAAAACATGAGAGTCTGTAAATCTACATAGCACAAGCCTGTCCAGATACACCAGCAACGGTAACAGGAGTATTCTTTACGCACATTTTTCTGTCTCACTGGGAAACGTGTGGGATTGGCAGACATTTAGTGAAAGAAAAAGCAGACTGACCTCATCATAGAAATCAGGATTCTGGGAATGATGTAGCACAGCGGTGTAGGCTGCCGTTGTAAACAGTGGTCCACCTGGCTTCCCATAAATACACTGACAAAAGTAATGTGCTTTAATTACACTGTGAAATTCTGCTGACGATACTTGTCTTGGTACATCTAATATGCATGTACATTGAAAACAGTATCATGAAAGACTGAGAATTACTTTGATCAAACATTAAAAGAAAGCTTTTTAATATTTCAGCATTTTTAAAAAATATTCCAGCAATTTTTTATATAGATTTCCAGTAAAAGTCTATTGACTCTGCCAAAATTACCCTACACACTACTAAGCTATGCAGACTCCTTAGACTTCCTCCTTGCTGTTAACATGTCCAGAGTTTTCTGCAATAAGCTTTACAGAAGCTATTGCCCTTTTATGCAGTTCAATAGACAACGTAACACCTTTGCTGACTTTCCAGTGTTACAAAAGCCAAGCAGTTAACAACCTCCTCACTGGCAGAGCCCAGTCTGAAGGCTCTCGATCACTGAGCAAGGGCAACTTTATCTACTGGTGGGGAAGCTACATTACAGCAACAGCCCTTGGAAAACAATATTAAGAATTTAGTCTAAGGTTCTTCAATTTTATGCCTCAGTCTATTGAAACAAGTGTCCTGAACTCAGTGAGAAATGTAGGGTAAATGATAAATTTTAGAATAAGCAAGGTGCACTATAAAAAAACAGAAGTTGTTCTCTAGCAGTGTCTTCTTTCCTCTCCACCAGCCAGAAAGCCAGCACTGTGAACTGGAATCATTATCACTAGCTGGGATCAAACAGGACCACAGTGCAAACATAGAAGGATGCATGACAACATTCACTTTTTAATTGTTGCAGGTTAGTGTAGCCCTGATTCCTGGGATTTGGAGGTAATGTCCTCAGAAACATGGTTCTCTGAATATACTCTGGTTGTGGCTCACCTTCAATGGCTTCGCTCCTTCTTCATCAGAGCTTCTAAATTCTATGCACACTGTTATATTCCGTGCCTGAAAAAACAGGAATGAATTAAAGCTCATGTCAGATATTGGGTACCCATGAAAACACAGGCAAACTGTAAGGGCTGAAATAAGCTCTTCTCAAAACCTAGGAGAAACATGCAGGTGCTGTGTCAACTTTTAAAATGCCTCTAAGTCACAAAAAATATCTCTAGAAATAATATTTCCAAGAAGATCTGACAAAATGCAACCCAGGCCTCAGATGGATTTCTTGAAAGCAGATTGTAAAGTGACCAACACTTACCCATGTCTTGTCCTGAATTAATTCTCAATCACTATGAAAACCCAAGTAATACTCAAGTTTCAATTAAGAACTACAATTATTAACCAGATTAATTTTACCTGCATGCACTGTTCTGTTAAAATACAGCTCTTCTGAAAATCATGAATGAGCTATTACCACATTATCTCCCTTTGGATCACTGACACAACTTAAAATTAATCCACAGAGTCATCCCATTAAAATTGCACCAATGTTTTATGATTCCAAAAATTGAAAAAGATATAAAGCCAAGTCAGTGACTCAGACCATCACTGTTCTCCCCTCCTTTATGGCAAGAGCTCTTTTATTTCAATAAGAGCTCATGCAGCACACTACTACCCAACTCTGGCCTGCACTGGTCACATACTGTACCTTGTTGAAGAATTTTTGGCTATCATACTTGAGGTGTTTTGGATATATGTATATTTGGTTCTTGTATACTCTGTAAGGTCGAGAGTATTTTGTTGATTCCTGTACAAACTCCTCGACTTCCACTGTAGGCTGATGCTCCCTTATGTCATTAAATGGCTTGATTGGTATAAAGGATGAAGTTACACAGTCTTCAAAAGAACAGAAAAGAAAACAATCACATATTATGGTTGTTTTTACAGTCTTACTACTAAGAATAAGTAATATTGAGATGGAACAAGTATAATCCCACCTTAACTTGCAGAATCTAAGTAATGCTGAGATGCAACAGGTCAAATCTTACCTTAAATTGCAGCAACTTCAAAACAATTACAATACATAATCCTTATATATTGCTTGAGTTAAACAATACAGTGCTGTAAAACTCTTTTGACACACACAGTATTTGATAGCATAACAGCACCATTGGTATAGGGACAGTTGCAACAGCACACACTGAAGTGATGCTGTTTCTAATTAATTTTACAGCTCAGTATCTCATTTAAGTTTTCCTATTATCTAAGAACATACTAAACGAACTGAAGAAACAAGTAGTGCAGAACTAAATTAAATATATGATGCAATTGGGATAACTGAAACCAGCTCAAGGAACAGAAGATGTGTCACCCAGAAGAGGGGTGCTTCAGTCCAGACAGGACACTCTGTCTGCCCATGCCACGGCATCACCCAGACATATAACTACAGCACCCAAGTTTTCTGTTACTCTTTTTAAATTATTTTACAGCCTTATTCAGAGTAAGGTACATTTTCCTCACGCTAAAGAGATGTTTTAGTCACAACTCTTTAGAGTAAAGGGACTTTCAGACCCTCCACAGGACCTGGGTACACACCTAGTCAGGCCCAAGCTCTTTGGACTATTTTGCCCCGTCCAAGATACCAGTTTCTTTTAATTTCAAAAATAAAAACTGCCTTAGAAATGTTAGTGAAACTATTTTGTTATCTATCACTATATGAAGATGGTATAAAGATGTGTGATGACAGATTTCACAGGAATTCAATGGATCTCAGCTTTTTGCAACAGCGGGTCACGGTTACAAGACCTGCTGGTCCTAATCTAGTGGAAGGTGTCCTGGTCTAGTGGCAGGTGTCCCTGCCCATGGCAGGGGAGTTGGAACTAAGCAATCTTTAAGGTCCCTCCCAACCCAACCCATTCTATGATTCTATGATGAAATGTGGTCCTTGAAACAGAAAATTTAAAAAAAGACAGAAGGATACAGTTAGAAGCATCTGTCTTAGCACTTGGTGCTCTGAGGCCAGAACAGCTTCTGGATGAAGTCTTCCATCTAGTCCACATTCTTGAAACCTGCTGCATGGCCCACATGTGCTCATTCACAGAGGGCAGGAGCATCACAGCCCATCATCAGTGCAAGGCCTTCTCAAGCTACAGAAGGCCACTCAGCTCTTTGGCCTGATCCCTTACAGGCCAAACAGTGGTCCTTGGACTTACACCATATGTGAATCCAGCACGTTGTGTTCCATATTGCTGGGGTGTGTCTGGCCAGGTACAGGACAAAACAAAGAATGGTGCAATGAAACGAAAACAAATCAAGAACACCCCCCTGCATACATTTTTTTTCTATAAAAAAACTGACACTTCTACAAGAACTGTCTCAAGGCAGCAGTTTTGGCTGGAGAGCCTATGACAAGTTCCTATTTCATAATTAATTACAAAGTGGAATCATACTTGGATGTTCCAAAGGAACACAATCAACTGCAATCTCCAAACAGCCAGGTATAGTCTGTATTTTGCTGATCTTCTCTGCTCTGCAACGACAGAAATGAAAACATTTTAGACAATTAGGACAAGGGAGATGTGAGCCATCATGGGAATTAATTTAATATTAAAAACAGACCCTGATTTAAGGTCTAAACGTATATAAACATATTATATATATGTTTATATTATATATTATATTAAACATATTTAACATACACCTATTGGCTATTAAACCCAAATCAACTGCAGCAGCAGGAAAGAAATGTGGTGCGGTTTGGTTTGGTTTGGTTTGGTTTGGTTTGTTCTTTTCTTTCTTGGCCTCATTCCTGCCTTCTCTTTGCAAGCAATACTATAGCATATTTTGTAGAAGAGGAAGAAGCCGATGAACCAAACTGTATGAGAACTAACTTACCCACTTTTTCTTTCTAAACTCTAAATCAAATGTTCTCTGAAGGGAATTCAGTGGCTGCTGAGACAAGAGGAGTTCACAGCATTGTGGCT